CCTCTGTGCCTCGGCCCCACACGCCCCCCGCCAGGTGTTGGAGACCCTGGGCTACCGCCCCGCGAGGCACGCAGAGGCCATCACCGCGCCGGTCTTCCTGCGGGCGGGGACGCGCGACCACCTCACCAGGTGCGGCACCCGCCCCCAGGGAGGGGGGACGCAGTGGGCCGGCGACCCTCTGTTTTGGCTCGCCCTAGGTATGGATCGGAGCTTGGGCGCGGCCCCTGGGCGCCAAGCGGGGTCGAGGTAGTTGTCACCTTTCGCTCTCTGCGCTTAACGGCGTTTTGTGTGGCAGCGCACACAGCAGCAACGGGCTGTCCGTGCCTCCCAGCTGCCGCCGACTGCGCTTGTGTTTTGGTGGCCGGGCGCCATCACATGATGCGGTTGTGGCGTTGAAAGTGCCACCTCGATGGCCACGCGCCCTGCTCACCCGCCACATTCACCACCCTCGGATGATTGGACTGCCGCGACCCCAGCGTCGAGTCTGTCAAGGCGCTTGCCGCGCGGCTGAGAGGCCCCGTGGAGGTGCAGGTCCTGGACGCCAGCCACGTCGGTGCGTCTTGGCGGTGTGATCCTTGTTGTTTTGTATGCGTATGTTTGTATTTTGGTGCGTCTTCATGTTTGAGAGTGTGTGTGTGAGAGAGTGAGTGTGTGTGAATGTGTGTGACTGTGTGTGACAGTGGCTGCGTGTGAGAGTGAGAGAGAGAGGTTGTGTGTGTGTGTGTGTGTGTGTGTGTGTGTGTGTGTGTGTGTGTGTGCGCGCGCACAAGTGCACGTCAGTGCACGTGTGTGCACATTCGCGCTCGCTCATGTGCGGTAGCAGTCACGATGCCGTCGGTTAGTTTCTCGGGTTCTGATGCAAGCGTGTGCCCGTACGAACTTGAAACAGACACGCCGCCAGTCGCGGCCGCGCAGCGCGCGATTTTGCTGTCGCTATGCTCCCTCTTTGCCCCAATTGCTGGCATCATCATCATGTCCCACTGGACCAGCGGCGGGCCTCTTATCCGACAACGCCTTGTGCCGCACAATCTTGACTCATGCTGACGTCATCATATGCAGAGGCGCACCCTATGGGGGTCAAGAAGGAGTACTTCGAGCCCCTCATAGCCTTCCTGCAGAAGCACCTGCAAGTGTCGCCAGAGGACGCCCGCGCCGCCGAGCGGCTCGCCGCGGCCGCGGCTGAGGAGCAGGCCGCGTCCGAGGCGGCGGAGGCGGGGCGGCAGGGGCTGCAGGAGGCAGCGGCGGAGGACGAGGTGCCGGAGGGGCAGTTTCCGATGGCAGACTGAAACAAAAAGGTATGAGCCGGCACCCTTGTTTGTCCTTGATTTGCGTCGGCTCCGATTGGCGGAGGAGCAGGCCGGATTTTTTCATGTGCACATATCTAGCGCGGTACATGTTTCCAAGGAGCACGGTGGTGGGTCCTGCAGGAGTAAGGTGGAGGCCTGGTGCGCGCCACGGCAGGTGGGCGCCAGCAAGGACGGCATAGAGCTTTGTTTGAGGGGTGTGATAGGAGGCTGCTGGCGCGCTTCCATTCCGCCTTTTAGGCTTGTTACCAGCAAAAGACCTGTTGGGCTCCAACCGTGGATCCTTAATTCAGGGCGTCCAAGCCCCGCCTGGGGTTGTGCTGCAGTGTACTTGGATCTGGCGTTCAATCGGCTGGGCTCTCGTCACATTTACACCCCAGTGTGCTCGTTTTGTTCCACCACGCTGGCAACACTTCCGGCGCCTCCTGCCTGCCAAGCAGGCCAGCAAGTGTAATTGCCCCGAGCAGGTTCCACCGCCACACCGCCTCCCAAGGCCCCAACAGCACGCTGGGGGGAGGGGGGAGCGGCGCGGCTCGAGGCAGGACTGACCAGGGCAGCTTTGCGCAGTCCGTCAAAATTTTGCGCATCCTCCATTCAAATCACTTACATAAGGGACGTGGCGGTCGCAACACAAATCCACATGTCGGAGGTTTCGACGCCGCTTTGTGGTGCACTAATCCAGGTTTAGGTGAATTCTGGTCGGACCATGCGTGATGTCACGGTGACATCACCGTGACATCACCCCAGGGTGAGCTGCTCCTTGGCAACCAGCACGCCGTCTGGGTCCGCGTACACCTGCGGCCCAGACATTGAACGAGATGTTGCATAAGCCGCGGCACACAGCAAGAAGACGTGGTCACAACGGTGGGGCGCCCGCGCCCCGAAACTGATGGTTAAGCCCGAGCCTTCGTTCGTGTAAGGCGCCGGCTCTGTGATTCCGGCACAAGAATTGATCCCTGTGGCCTTCCAGCTAGAAGCAGCCTGCAGGCTGCGCCTTGGCTCACCCAGTCCCCGGGGCTTATGGTGCAGCCGCCGATGACCACCGTGACCCCCTCCAGCCCGAGGTCCCGCTTGCTGGATTTGAGGGGGCACGTGGCCAGCGCCTTGACGCCAAGCTGAGAGATCTGGCCGATGCCCTCGCTGTCACGGATGCAGCCGTTGACGATGATACCCTGTTTTTTTGGGGGGGGGGTGGCCGGGGCCAGGGGGCTTGTGACGTTGAGGGCTTGTGCAAGCCCGACCGTGTGTTTGTGTACGTCGGTGGGTGGGTGGTGGGTGCATGTGCATGTATGTGTGTGTGTGTGCGTACGTGCGTGCGCGTGTGTGTGTGTACAGGCGTGCGCGCATGCGTGTGCACAGACGGCGTGACTAGACCGGATTGATGACCATGTGGTGCTAGGGGCGCCACACAGTGCTAAAGGTTGCGAACGTCGCAGCCCTCAGCACCACCCTTTCCTGCTCCCCTCCGCACCGCCCAGCGCTGCGTGGGGGCAGCCTTTCCCGCCCCCCCTCCCTCCCTTTCCAGCCCGCACCGCCCAGCCGTTTTTCCGGGCCTCCTCCGCGAGCATGTCCCCCAGCAGCGCGCAGCGCGTGGACCCCCCGCCGTCCACCACCAGCACGCGGCCGCCGCCGGGGCCCGTCACCGCCTGCGGTGGTTTGATGCGGGGCAGGCGGCGCTTCGCGAGGCCGGGCATGGGTGCGTGCCACCGGCCGCTGCCGCCCCTTGGATTGAATGCTGGGTATGCGTGGCGGCAGTGATAGCGCGTGTCGAGGACGGGCTACATGTACTGGCCGATTTGCGGCTGCTGGCGTCGCGGCTGGCCTGCCGCGTGCCCCTGCGCTGTCGACCACGGGCAGGCGCGTCCCTGGGGAGGGTATTGTGGGATGCCAGCCAGTCACTTTTCGTACGAGTGGGTTGTTTTCAAAACACTTCACAGTGTGGGCGGGGCCTGCGAAGGTTCGCTTGCCGCCGTAGTCCCTGGTAAAATTGTGTATGTGTATGCGTGGTGTGTGTGTGTGTGAGTGTGTGTGTGTGTGTGTGAAGGGGGGTCCACACATGCGTGCGTGTGTGCACGTGTATGCAAGTGGATCGCACTGATTGCTGCTGCCGCGGTCGACTGTGCTTTACGTGACAGCCGGCAGGGGCGGCGCAGTTGCCCAATGTCACGAGGGGGCTGGTACCTGCCGGAACGTGCCGTGAGCAGCACACCTGAACAGCGGCGGCAGCACCTGCACAGCAGGGCTGGCGACGGTTTCATCAACGCTGTGGGTGTGGTACTTGTCGCACCTGTGGGAGCGACATAAGTGCGAGTGTGCGGGCGGGTGTGCATGTGTGTTAACGCCGCTGCGCATGTGCATGCGTTCACACGCACACGCGTGTGTATGTGTGTTTGCGCGCATGTGTGCGTGTGCGTGTACGTGCGCACACATGTGTGTGCGTGCATTGTATGGGTTGGGAAGGGGCCAGAGGGGCCAGGGTGCTGGGGTGCTTGGGCGCCGGCAGAAACCTGGCTCCTGGCTGAAGCACAACCGCTTTGCACGGCTGGCGCCGGCCGCCGGCGTGAGCTCTGGCCAAAGGGCTACCGCCACTGTCTTGTATGAAGACCAACACGTGCTGTGCAGACGCATGCTGCACAGAAAGGCCTGATGTGCGCCAGACTCGTGCTGACTCGGCCGGCGACGCTGCCAGTGCATGTGCGCCCATCTTTGGGCGGCAGCGACATGCAGTACAGTAGGCGATGTCACAGATACCATATTGCCGACATAAATCCGTCAAAACCCTTCCAATCAGCGATGCCCGGGCACTCACAGATCCGCAGTGGGGAGGGCGACAATTTCACTTGACATCCTGCGTGCGGGTCCCGTATGGAGCCAACAGGCTGTGGATATGATATTCAACTGTGATAGCTATATGAATGGGATCCGCAAGAGGCTCGGGCACTCACGGCATTTCAGCTACGGACACCGCACACCCGCATTCGAGTGACAACAGATTCATAACCGGTCAACAGAATGCACTGGTAGCCCGTAGACTGTTGGAAAAGTTTTATGGGGCTCGCCCCCTACTGTGTATAGTCTAGCTTTGTGGGGCACAGGCTACACACTGCCCAGATCGACCATCTTTGCGGCCGCTCCGCCCATGACAGGGCGGCCCCGTCGCGTCAGAGACATGTTTGATCGATCTTGAGCTTTGTATCACCGTCAGGATGGCCACAGACGACGAGGATGATCGTCGTATTCTCGAGGCGGAGCTGGAGGCCGAGCTCCAAGCGCAAATGGCCGAAGGATTTGTGGAAGAGAACGCCGTAAGACGTGAGTTTTTGTGTTCCAGAGACACGGCTGGCTTCAGGTTTCGCCAGCGCAGCGGCGGCGGTGTGCACAGGTGTGCCGCTGTCCTACCCAACCCTTGCGCGCCCGGCTCCGCGCTCACACCTCGGGCCCCGCAGGTAGCAGGTCGGCGTCGCTGCGCCGCAAGGGCAGCCAGTCTGCCCTCCGCGCCGCCGCGGAGCAGCATTCGCCGCCCAGCAGGGGCGCGGCTGGCGCGGCCGCGGCCGCGGACGTGGCCGATGACGGCGGCGCATGCTTGGGCGGCGGCGGCGGCAAGGGCGGCCGCCTGCCCAAGTGGAAGCGGCGCCACGGGCGGCGCGGGCGCGGGGATGGCAATAAGAAGAAAGAGCAGGAGATCCACAAAGCCCGGGCTTTCAAGGAGGTGGGGCGTCGAGGCGCGTGTCGCATTCCCGCGCGGCCAGCGCTTGCGCTCTCGTGCCTCGTCGACGCAGCCGCTCTTGCTCCCCAATGGCTGAAAGCTGGAGGGGTTGCCACCGCTATCATCAGCGGGCGGTTGCAGCGGGGGCGGCGTGCAATCCCAAACCGAGGGAGCGGCAGCTGGGTGGCTGTTTTTCTTACGCGCGTCGACGCCGCGACACACTCCGCCTCGCCTGCGGAGTCTCATTGCCGCATCCCGTGGCAGCCGCTATCAACGGGCGATCTTTTTCAAGGGGCGCCCCCTTCCCTGCCCTCCGCGCCCCGCCTCGGCTCGCCCGCGCGCCGCGCTGCCGCTGCCCCTGCATCGAATCCAACCCCCGATCGCCGCCGGCCCGCCCGCCCTTCTTCCAGCTGGACACGACAATGGAAGTCCTGGGGATCCACGATCTGCCTAAGAACCAGCAATCCCTCAGCAGCGTCCTGTCTGGCGGACTGCCAGATAAGCAGGGCAGCTGCACGATCCTGAACTCGCCAGGCTGGGGCACCCCCTGCTTCCCAGACGCCTCCACGGTGGGCACGCCCCGCGGCGCCGCCGGGGACGCCGTCGGCGGCGCCGCGGGCGGTCACTCGCGCTTGGCAGCGGCCGGGAGTGGGCCGCCGCCGCCGCCGCGGCCGCCGGCCGCAGCAGC